TATAATCGCCCAGACAAACAGTACTTGGTAGGAAAAGATTTTGCAGGTCAGTAGGTATTTTATTGAGATCAGGGTCTGATACATATTAAGTATATTAAGGTATTTACCTCTCTAGTTGATCCTTATAATCTGAATCTCTAGACTAGAATTATCAGTGATATTGTTACTAAAATTTATACTTTGATATTTGATGTCCCTGATGAGGAACGTTAAGCATTTACACAAGAGCTATTGACAGCAATCTATTAGTTAGAGCTGTAGGCAATTAAAAGAACTATTAAGAGATTGAAAATGTTTCATTTGTAAATTTCTCACACTTAATTTTTTAATACTTCTAGATGATACTGTTTTAATTTCGCTCAAAGAACACACAAGCAAAACTGAAGTTGCAGATAGTTCACAGAGCTTAAGATTTTTCACTTTCCTTCCAAATATTAAGCTTAGAATTAATAATCCATTAGAAGAAAGTTCCCCCCTTGGTGCACAGACATCAGTTGCTCTAGTATTAAAGCCGCACTGTTTATTGGTATGAAACAAAGTACATGATTTTAAAACAACATATTTCACATTTTATTTTCAATAAGTAAGATTATTTCCTTCCTTCAAAACTTGACGAATCATTTGTGATATTTCCATTTATTAATGATTTAGTTAGATCTGCTTGGTAATGACTTGAAAAATGATATTTGAGAAAAAAGAAAGGCATACTAGATTCATTAATGGTCTATTGAGCAGAAGGCCTATCATGAAATAGCAGAAATTCAGAGGAATTCAAGCAATATTGAGAAAGAAGAGAGGAATGACAGCCCTTATAGCAGAAGGCCTATTATGAAATAGTTTTAAATATTAAGCATGTATTGTCAAGTGTAGTAATACTTTAAGCAAATAATGTCTATGCAGCTGTAATATGAATCACACAATGTATCTCAATGCCCTTGTTTGGCCCTGTGAAACCATTATTTGTTGTTTCAATAACTACTGGACCCAGGCAGTTGGGTGAGAGTGAATTCCCAGAGGGTGCTTTGGTCTGTGAGACTTCCCTCCTAATGAATCCAGCACTTGGTTGGGCGCTCGGTGCGAGGCATTTGTGTGACACCACGTTCTGGCCAAACTCTAGATATAGGTGGACGTGGCGCTATACCAATTAACCTCAATGGTAGAAGCATGGTGCCCACGTCCTCCATCACATATTGCATATCGCATTATGAAATAGTAGAAACTCATAGGAAACCTAGCAATATTTCCAAGCATTAGTTCAGAAGATTCAGTTTTCAATTTTTGAAGTTAACTGCTGCCAGTTATGGAAATCGTGGTTTCTACTCACTGTGGATATCCCGGATAGTCATTGAAAGTAAAGAAAAGGGAAAATGGCCAGAAAAAAACATCAGCTTTTTAAAACAATTCATGTAAAATTGGAATTTTTCTCAAACAGTAAAAAGAATTGTAAATTTCTGCAGATCAGTCCTCTCAAATAATAATAATAATAAAAAAACTTATGCTTTAAATAGTACATAATAAACATGAATTACATCTTGTAAAGAAAGCAAATCATGCAGAAAGTGATCCGCCTTATATCTGATAAAATATTTTCAATTTAGCTTTTTTCAATCTCTTTTGTTGTGAGTTGTGTCATCCTTCATTTTAAAAACGTAATTATTTTGTTATCTCTTTTTCAGAAATGCAATTGCTCTTCAAAAATAAAATAGTTAAACTATCATTATGTGACTGGACATTATAATAAAAAATTATGTAATTATACATTTTTATTTCTATCTAATGTAACTCTAAGCTCTTCAGTTTTATTTTGAAGTATCAAAGATTAATGTTTACTATGAATAGCATATTATTATAAATTTCTTTTGTAAAATGAAGTTAATTTCTCCCAAGTTTATTCTTTAAAAACCTTGCCATTTTACCTCCTGCCAACCTAAATACACAGGAGAGGAAAGTAATGTTTTTGATCCAAAAATTTGATGTTGTCTTTTCAGTGAATGAGCACAAATTAGGATCCTCACAATATATTTTTACTATTTTAACTATTATGTCTCTCTCTGTCTGTATGTGTGTTACGATTTTTTCATCCATGATAACTCATGTCAAACTTCCAAAAATTTCTATTTTTCATTTTTTAAGTTTTTTGCATTCATATGAAGTGTTGATTAGATTTTGGATAAAATTGGACAAATCGAAGGGGTACCCTTAACAGTTTTAATGAAGAAATGCATTGTACTTTATTTGAAACCCATAGCAGTGTTTACTGAAAAACTATTTTAAAATATAACCCATAAAGTTTCCAGTTTTAATATTTAAGATTCATATCAATGAAACAACATATTAGATTTTGGCTAAAGTTGGTAAACCAGAAGTAATACTTTACTTGAAGCTCTGAACAGATTTTCATTAAAAAAATATATGCTGTAATCCCAAATGGATCACATTTGGCATTTAAAATTCATATATGCATATTAATGCACATAAAATCATGATTGAGAACAACATATTAGATTTTAACAATATATGATCAACCGGAAATGGTACTTTACTTGTAACTTGTAACAGATTTTCCTGGAAAAGTGTAGAATCACTATAATAAGAGTTTAGTCTAATGTATTGCAGCACATATTTAGCCTATTTCAATTATATATATATATAGGCATGATATTTATTTTTATCAAGCTACAGAACAGAAGGAGTTTTATAATAACATTTTGTTTGCAGAACTTCTAAACCATTATAATGCGCTCTTGCAATGTTACCAAAAAATGCACCTGTTTTTCACTTGCACTGTTCATGATGATGAGATACAAAAATAAACAGTAAATTTGAAAGTGCCTATTACTTTTTTTTTTTTTTAACTGATTTCAGAATGTGCAGCAGTGACTATTCAGCTGTAGTTCCAAAAACTAGTGAACATCAGTTTGGCGGAACAGGTTAAGTAAAGTGACCATATATACCTAAATGTTGTGGGGATATATGTGCAGATCAAAATGAATTAAAATTTTTGATAGTATAGGAGAAATTTAACATAGAAGAAAACTAAATTACGGGATTTATATCGAAGTATTTATTTAAAATTTATTGTAAATTAATTTTCTTTAATTAGAATCCAGTTAAATTATATGTTATTCAACTGCTCATTACAATGGAATTTTTAATAAAAAGTAACAAAGGGAAAATTAAAAACTAGTTAAGTTATATATCATTCAATTGCCCAACCAGCTTTTATACCTGACTAATTACATGTAATAAAACATAGTCTGAAATTTTGTATTACAGACCTTTCTATCTTTTGGAACAGCAAATTAGATTTTGTTTGAAAAAACGATCAACCGCAGGTGATGCTTTACTTAAAGTTCATTGCTCATTTTAAAGTATGTAATTGGCAGAGATCATGTGCTAGCCACATCAGATTTATTTGGGGAGGTTAACTGGATTAGGGCATATTTCCTATATTTATTTATTTCATTTAGTTTACTATAATATATGAAAAAATTAAATTTGATACTTTCCTGATTATCTGCCCTCCACTCCCGAAAAGTCGCCAGTCATTTTTCTGCAGTTAAGACACAACACGAACCATTTTCAAAAATAGTGGCACACAAAAAATTACATAAAGCACACATGACAAAATTAAAAATACAAAAACATTTATAATGAAACATTTACCTTTTTTTTAGTTTGCTGTTCTTCTCATGTACACAGCAATCTTTTTTAGCTGTAAAAAACACCAGAGAATTGCTGAAATGTACAGCTTGACACACACACACACACACACACACACACACACACTGTTGCTCTCTCCATGTACAGAACAGTCTGTTTTTGGTTAAAAAAATCATAGAATTTCACATTATACATGCTGTTGTTTCTCATGTACATGTCAGTCTGTTTTTACTTATGAAAACATCGAAGAATTGTACAAATTCATCATCTACAAACAAATTTTGATTGTTTATGAAATGCAGCTTCAAATTTTTGCATTCTCTACTGTTAGGAAAAAATGCCATTTTTCTGAAGAAATTCAGTGCTTTCTTTTTCATCAGCTGACAAATTTTACACTTCCATTACGATTTCTTTAAGTGCTGTCCCTGCAACAAAAACAGTTACTAATGCTCATCGTAAGTGCAATAAAAGCAAACACTAGTGACCACCACTCGTGTGCTGTGTACTCATGAATACCTGGGTTGCCATATAAATACATTTTGGCTACATATTGCATTGCTTTGTGAATAATTTTCAGGGGGTGTAGATAATCAGAAATTACCTTAAATCTATGCATTGCTCTTAATATTGCACTGTATTTTGTAATAAATATTAAAATTATTTATTTGCTTAGACATAATTTGATAACTAGGTCATTATGTTTAGTCAGGATAATAGTTTTGTATGATTGAAATCAAGAGTTGGGTTTCTGTCAGAACTGTGAAAAATGGATGCTACATGTATGTATTTATGTAATTCATTTAAGAATATCTTAACCATGGCTGTAAGTGAATGCAGTCTGTTGTTAATATTATTTTTTAAAATTCGACTCCATTTTCTTCATACACAATTTTGTTTTTATCTTATGTCATTTGAAAATGTACCTTTCCTTATTTTTGATTCTGCTCATCATTATTATTTTCCTTATTTTTGAACTGATTCTTTCATATTACATACCAAATACTTGACAAGCATTAAGAATTTCTACCTTCTGTATTGGCATAAAATCTTATTGTCAAGTTCCTTTCCAGTATTTTCATCAGAGAGATAATATATATTTATCATTTCTTCATTTAAGAAATATTTCTTCATTTAAAATGTAAAGAAATAGTGAAAGATTTATAGCCAGCAAAAAATTTGAATCAGGGATGCAAATTATATTTACAGAGTTGAATAAAAACAGTTTCTCAAATAATTGTTTGTGGTGATTGTATTTTAAGAGATTTAATACTTTTTTAAAATTAAAATATCCCCTCCTTTTTTGGTTAAATTATGTTCTTATTTAATTTATGTGATAGGTTAGTGGTGGCTTTGCTGTGGGTATGACTATTCTGGAATGTGTACGTAAAGAAGCTCAAGAAGAAGCATCATTACCAGATGACTTATTAAATGCTATGATCCCTGTGGGAACAGTTTCGTGAGTAATTCTGTTGCTTGGATATATATCTTGAAGATTCATTATGAAAAAATATTAATATTTTGCTTTTAATTGTATCAAAGTTTTGTAGTTTATCTTATTATGTATTTGTTGCTTGTATATGAAAAATTACAGTACAGCTAATTTAAATGCTGTATGAATAACATGTTGTCTGTTATTATTTAGAAGTTCAGAAGTGTTATGTTTGATTTCATTAAACATGAATAGATGAAATCTGTAGTAAGTAATAAATTACTAAATAATATTAAAACTATGGAAATTTTTTAAAAAATTCAAAAATTGATTTTTTAATGTACAAATTTTAAGTACTTTGCATTACGTTTTTTAAAGTTGAACTAACTGAAATTCATATGAAAAGTCATCAGTTCTCAAAATGTAGTCTGTGTAATCTATCTTATATGTTAGGATGTTATTTTTCTTTTTTTCTTTTCTTTTCTATCTTCTTTTTTTTTCTCTTTATTTTATGCTAGAAATCAACAGCTACTTTAATAAAATCAGCAGGAGGGAACAGTTGAAACTGTTGAGATTCAAATCCAAATGAATACTGCCAGTTTATGCTAAAAGAAAAGTAAAGTATCTAAAATAATAAAATTAAATTATCAAAGGGAAGGGGAAAAAATTGACTCATATTTAATTTTCTGCTACTGAGTTAAACTGTATTGCACTTTTATCTGCTGAAATAATGTACTAAACTGAAGTGAAATCCTTAATTTCACTTCAGTTTAGTACTTTATCTTCCTGTGCAGTAAAATACTCTAATATTTGATGGTCAAATTAAGCTGCTGCCATTTTTGTCATTCTAACTCTACTTAAAGTTTATAAATCTGAAGCCAAACATTTCATTATTCTTCAGGTATGTTTACCAGGTCTTATCAGATCTTCAATTTTATAATTATATACTGTGAAGCAAGTACAGACCAGAATTAGGATGGTATTGATTTTGTAGAAAATTCTATCTATTTTTAGGAAGTGGCAGAATAGTTTTGCTTTTAAAAGAATACCTTGCATTAAAATATTGCAGATCTGTTCAAGCATTCCCATTGTATCAAATAGAGTTTCCTAAAAGTACTGTTTCATGACGTGTATGATTTTTATAGATTTTCTGTAACTAGAAAGTACTGATGCTGCTTGCCACTATTATTAATTCTTTAAATTAATGTGGATTTTCTTAAAACTATTTTTTGAAAAATCATTTAAAGTGTATTTTTTTTAGTGGAGCTATTAGAATGCTAAGAAGAAAATCAAGTGCTGCAATCAAACTTCTATTAAAGTTTCCTAGCATTATAATTTAGTATTCCATAATTCGTTGTTTACAATTAGCATTAATGTAAAATTCGTAAAATTTATTAATAAGAAGAATCATTTTGAAATATTTTTTAATAAATTTTTATGCTTTTTATCACCAGTATTAAAAAGTAAGAAAAAATTACAGGTAATCATCTGCTTGGGTTTTTCTCAAATACATTGTTGGCCATTAAAATTGCTACACCATGAAGACAGCATGCAACAAATGTCAAATTACTGGTACTATATGCTGTAACTGTAATGGCCAAATTACAGGTACAATAAAAGGTTATCCATCATTCAACTAACCAGAAAGCTCAAATTAACGGGATATTTAAAGATTTTAGAAAAAAATTTTCCGTAGAAAAATTTAGTACGTGAGAGATTTGTAACAACATTATAGAGCTCGTAATGCTATTAACATGTTTTTGTTGTTTCCAAATAGCGTAATTTTGCACCAATAATGGATAAACACGACATCCCATCACAATCATAAGAAGTTCATGTTGGTTTAAGTGTAAATTGAATTAATACAGTACAAATTCCTTAATCTGGACTCGTCGAGATTTCGGCGATTCCGGATTAGAGGTTTTTCCGGATTATAGATCATCAATTTAAATCTGGTAAGATGGCATGCAGAAATTATACAATTAAAAATAGGAAGCCATCATGTATGAAATAAAGAACAATTATGATCTAAAGTGTATCAAAAAAATTTTTTTAAAAAAGCTTAATCTTTATTTGTTTACTTTATTAAACATTTCTTTCAGTGTAAGTTGTTTAAGTTGCTTCATTTTTTGTGCTAATACTTTCTTTTTAATTCTATAAACATACATAATTTCTTGTTCGGTTACAAAGTTCCACTGTTCAAGTCCTGTAATTGCTGTGTCGAGAATACCGACTAACTTGTCAATCGAAATTTTTTCATTTTCAATAAAATCTCTGTCACTTTCTTCAGTATCGGAAGAAGTATTTTCTGGGTCTAGAACTATACTACAGATTTTGCCGTCCGTTAATTGATTGATGATTGGGGCATTGTCGTCACAATGAAAAACTTCTGTTATATCATCTTCATTTATTACCCCTTCCCACATTTCTTTACAAAATCCAGTAACTGGAAAATTTCACCTTTAGTTTGCAATGTCCGAAAACCTTCAAATCCACGGCTATCATCTTCATCATCCTCACCATGAAATATAGTAGCTGGCCATAAGTTATGCCAAGCATTTTATAACATATCTGGAGACACATCCTCCCACGATCTTGCGATGCTCCACACAGCAGATTTTATGCTAAAAAATTTCAAAATGTTTTGAATAGTCTTGCCATTTCAAAGAAATTTAACATAGATTTAAAAAATGCTACTTTATATTTGCATTTCAGCACGTGCACTATTCCCATATCCATAGGCTGAATGATAGACCTACACTTTGGAGGGAAGAACAATACGGATACATTATCTTTTTACTAAAACTTTTAAGTGAAGTATGTGCCAAACAGTTGTCAACAATTAGGACTATTTTTGAGTCATCAGGTAAACCAACCGAATTCAAATGTTGCCGAGCCTCGGGTATAAAATGATTTTCAAACCAACCATTCATCAACGCTTGTGTCATCCATGCTTTTTTATTTGCGCGATATATAATGGAGAAAATCCTTACTCCTTTAAATGCTCAAGGTCGTGCATGTTTTCCGATTACAAAAAGGTGCACTTGTATGTTCCTGCACCATTTGCGCATGCTAAAATTGTTAGTCTCACTTTGGAATCTTTGACACCAGTTGGAGACTTTTCTGTAGAGGTTGCCAAGGTATTTTGTGGTACATATTGCCAGAAAAGACCAGTTTCTTCAGCATTGTAAATTTGTTCTGGAGATAATTGTTCACTAGTAATGAGTTCAATGAATTCATCTGCAAATTGCTCAGCAGCTTCAGCATCAGCTGAAGTTTTCAACTGAAATTTTTAATTGTCTTATACCATGGTGATTTTTAAATTTGGTTAACCAACCTGTTGAATATGTGCACACAGTGTTTAAGTTCATTTCTTCATGAAATATTTCGGATTGAGCCATTAGCATTGGACCCGTCAATGGCAGTCTCGCTGCGAGTCTGTCTGACCTGTTCAATCATCACTTTGTAATGATTGTCACTTTTAGCACAATAAACCCTTTTTCTGTTATTCATTGCAGGTGGGGTGTCGCAATCAACAAAAAATTCAAAAAGTTCCTTTTTCTTTTTTCTAATGTCATATACAATTGACTTTCCAATGCCATACTGCTCGCATAATTTTGAGACGGATATGCCTTTATCCATTTTTTTCAGCAATTCCACTTTATGTTTGATGGACATCGAAACATGCTTTCACTTTGTAGATCCTTTGACAGCTCCAGAATTGGAAACTCTTTTTGACATAATGGAAAGTTCAAGCTGAATTTTTATAAAATTGCAGTCTGCAAAAAATAATAAGTCGGATCCAATTAGAAGATTAAGGAACAGTGCAATCTGCAACATTAACCGAAATGCCTTAAAATCAGTAAAGATAATTTTAGTCTAGCTTATACCGTCCATTATACATTAAACGTGCATGCGTAAACCATACAAAAAAAAAAAAAAAAAAAAAAAAAAAAAAAACAGAGTCTGTGGCTTTGAGGTCTGGATTATAGATCATTCCGGATAATGGACATTTGGATTAGGGACTTTGTACAGTACTTAAATATTTATAAATTATTTTAAAATACATTAATTAACCTATGAAAGAGAGCCAAAAACCTTTTGCCTAGCATCATGATCATGTTACAAAAAGAGCATTCAGTTAACAGGCAGTTCTATACATTACATGAAGTTTATGAGCAGGAAATATTTTGTTCAACTTAATTTTTAGACAAGGAAATGTTTTTTGTTTTTAAAATTAGCCTATAGTGCATATGAACCAAAAGGAGAATACCTTATAAATATACATACTGTGGTTTAAAATTTAGTCTAAATATGCTATGCTTAGGTTTTAGAGATATCACAGTGAGAGTTATTGTAATTAAATGCAAGGAGAGGTAGGTACTAAATTAGCAGCATGATCAATAGCACATTCTGCTTTGAAAATAACTAGAATGGAGTAAGATAGCAAAATGTAACATCTTTATTTAATAAAATAATTTAAGTATAAAGAACGTAATATAAATCAAAGGATGCTTAAAAATGCTATACTTAAAATCATAGAAACTAAAATTCATTTTCAGTTTCAAATTAAATTTTCTTAAGGGGGAATTGAGTCTTGTTTAGTCAAGAATATTAGTGAGAAATTATAATAAAATTTTACATCTAAGATCTGTCAGAACTGCCTGCTTAAAAATTTAACTTATGAGGTTAAACAGAATGCAAATTCAAGTAGCCTAATACTGTTTGAATTAATGCAAATTGATGTTCTAGTACCTCACGATGACTGAAACATCCTGGCTCTTTGATTTAAAATAAAAGCTAAAAATAATTTAAATGATTACATTGGCGATGTTTTATGGTTAACATTATCTTAGGTTTACTTTACCTAAGTACTAAAAACATATTTAATACAGGAAGTTTTATGCATTTAAATTATTAGTCATATATATGGCTATTTTACACATTTCAGTAAACCAGAAACCAATACACAATTAAAAGTATTATCCATAATTTCCTCCAGAACCAGAATATGAATCTTTAATTAG